CAGCTAGACGTTTAATGCAGCAGTGTGTAGCCAGCAGAAGAGATGTGTTTGCAAAGAAGCATTTCTGCACGGTGCTACTAATGGTCTAAAACTACGATGGACACTAAATAAAGGAGTCCCAAAATCCATCTAGAGTATGGAGAGTGTCTCCAACCACTGTAGAGTTAGTGTCTCATCACACTCAACCACACAGATTAATAACAACATGTAAAGCAACATTCCAGCTTAAAGGAAAAAAGGCAAGTGTGGCTGTTAAACTACATTCACAATGGATTGACACAAGCGTTTTCAGATCCGATGCTCCTATCAGCAGGACAGCATTTGTCTTTGCCTTCTAAAAACCACTACAAACAGTGGTGTCCCAAGATAAGGTCTGACATTTTGTTAACCCATCCTCGACCCCCTCTATCAGGAGGACATTATCGCTCTATAACAACACCTGACTTCTTCCTTTGCTCCTGCTGCTACAGTCACTAGAGGGCTTTGTTGCTTGAACATAAATGTGTCACTCTGAAACACTTGTTCTTTAAACATCAAGGCTGCAATACAGCGACAAACATGAACGGTATGCTTACTCTAAAGGTCTCAGCTCATATTAACATCTGAGGAACTGCACTAACAAATCATTTAACATTATGAAGGCTTTGACAATACAACCTCCAATTCCGATAAGCAGTGCTGTTCAGATACTTGTTTGGATGATGAGTTATGTCTGATCATGAATCATAAATGGATTTAAGCACAGGCCCAGGTGCCTGAGGACTAACAGGGCCCCTAGAGCTTGTCTGCAAAATATCCCAGAAAGAAACAGAAAACAACCAAAATGATACACAAGGCAACCACATAGAGATGCCAAATATCCTCAAAAAGACACATAATTACCATAAAAACACCAAATGACCACAAGGAGATGCAAATGACCACTAAATGATATAAAATGTCTTCAAAGAGACACAAATACATAAGAAACAACTGCAAAGCAAAACATCTCTAAAAAGACTCTGTCTGTCTTGGGTTTTGCCTGTATGTAAGACAGTGGGGGCTTTTTATACGTTTGCGCCCAGGGGCCCATTGTGTCACAATGTGTCCATGTAATCAGTGTGTACAACAGGCAGTGGTTGTCAGTGAACGAATGCCACAGTGAATGTCTAGTTGTGTGGCTATTATATTTCACTATAACATTTTAACAACTTTACCTTTTTATTCCATGACTGCATTGTAAAGACAACCAACATTTTCATTAGTAAAATTAACAATATAAATAAACGAGTCCAAAAAAGCACAACTAACCAGGTTGTTTACAGAATCCACACTAATTAAAACTGTTCTGACAGAAAAATCGGTGTGGGATGATGTGCATATAACTTTTGTGCCAATTCTCACAGAACAATCTAAAAACTTTGACCCTGAGCAAGGACACAGCTACCGACTCCTCTTTCTCCATCAGAAAACAGTCAGTGTAATAAAAGCCCCCAGGCAGAAATCTCTTATAGCCAGAGGATATAACAGGATGAGAATGTTTCCTCCAAAGCCAAGAAATATTGTGGAGCGCAAGCCAAATACAGGAGGGCCAATTAATGAGAATACGACATAGCTAAAAATATATACACACACCACACGGGCTGCTTATCAGAGGCCCGGAGGGGAGGATCAAAGTAGCAACAGCAAAGCGTGGAGAGGAAGGATATGAGATTGAAACAGAGCTTGAGAAGTATGATGCATGATGCGAAGCAGACGAAAGAATAAAGACTGCAGGAGAGGCAAATAAAAAAGAGAGGAAGAGAAACAGACAGAGACAAAATGAGACTGAAATGAAATGCTCAGATCCAAACTGTCTGAGGGGAAGGCAGACACAGCCAAAGATTTAAGAGGACGAGTGTTTGAATCTTGGTTTGATGGATAGAATAACTCCCTCGAGCAGAAAAAATATACAGATATAAAAGACAAATGACAAGAGCTGATAAAATGTTCAGGGTGAAGGGAGAGAAAAACGGGGGGAAAGCAGTGTGAGGTAGACTGTGACAAGAACTCTGAGGAAGGACTTAAAACAGCCGGCGTAATGAGTTCGGGTTTGTTTGAAAACAGTACCATGCACATTGATCAACACTGATAACAACAACATCAGCATAAATGTGCCAGGATTAGCTTGACAGCTAATTTACACCCGTAGGCCCTGACCAATTAAAAATTACAAATAATAAAAGCAAGACATAAAACAATAAAACCAAAAAAACATTGCAGAGTGATTGAAATATCAAGTCATTAATGAATATACAGTGGGTACGGAAAGTATTCAGACCCCCTTAAATTTTTCATTCTTTGTTATATTGCAGTCATATGCTAAAATCATTTAAGTTCATTTTTTTCCTCATTAATGTACACACAGCACCCCATATTGTCAGAAAAACACAGAATTTTTGACATTTTTGCAAATTTATTAAAAAAGAAAAACTGAAATATCACATGGTCATAAGTATTCAGACCCTTTGCTGTGACACTCATATATTTAACTTAGGTGCTGTCCATTTCTTCTGATCATCCCTGAGATGGTTCTACACCTTCATTTGAGTCCAGCTGTGTTTGATTATACTGATGGGACGTGATTAGGAAAGCCACACACCTGTCTAAGACCCTACAGCTCACAGTGCATGTCAGAGCAAATGAGAATCATGAGGTCAAAGGAACTGCCTGAAGAACTCAGAGACAGAATTGTGGCAAGGCACAGATCTGGCAAAGGTTACAAAAA